CAATAGAAATAACCTCCTTTTTATAAATCTTTTGTATTAGAACATTAACAACAGTAATTTTGTATATACAAGAGGCTAGGCTTTCTGAATAGCAGAAAGATCGAACATTCCTACATTTAAAAAAATGTATGTCTGTAAAATTATTACATCGACTTGCGCAATGTTATGTGCCTTTTATTTGGGTTGTTTAAATAAACGAAACCTTATCACACATGCTTACAGTGGTACTGAAATAAATTGTTGGTCCTAATATAGAGCTTATATTGTTATATCTCAGAGACGTACCATGACATTTGGTTACTCCAAGGTTGTCCAGCAGATGGCACCATCTACATAAACACTGTTCAAAGATTTTTCCTATGCATCTGAGGTGCAAGGTGGGTCCTTGATCAATCAAGTTATAATGGATGGATCGCAGTTTTCCGTACACAAAAAAATGTTTTTTAATACTTCGCATGAACATATAGCGTAGGCTGTAGTGTAAGTATATTTATACTGTTGGTGTGTTAGTGCTGGAGTAATACTATGAATATAGATGCTTGTTTTTCTTAAATTGACACTTCAGAAAATTGTGAACATGTGAATGATGGAAACTAAAGAAACATTTAGTTAGCCTACTTTCTTGACAGGATGGGGAGTTCAGCTAAAGTTCACTTGCCTCACCTCCTTTTACTTTACTTCCTGTTTACATTTGACTTAATAGCAGATATGTTATTCTAATATCATTAGATATTGTAAATGTATGATTTATCAGTTTGCCATTAATCATAATGCCAAACTCATATTAACTGCATAATTACTGTATATTAGCTTTGTTGTTGTTGTTTCTCTAACATTGGGGTGCAGCATTTAGTGGCTAGGAGGCTGGAGGAAATCCTTGTCACCAAAGAGGACACAATCAGATTGTCCACAGTCTAATTTAATCTGTAAACTCCATGCTACGTGCTGCCGTCTTGGCGCTCCAATAGTACAACAGTTTTAACGGCTTAAGAGAGCTGGCCTGGGAAAGGATCATGCTATCCTGAGCTCAGCCAGTCGTGGTTGTAAGCTGACAAGTGCCTGTCTGAGCATTGCTGTTTTTCTATCTCTATATTTTTACTGTATGTACTGTTGCATAATTGAACAGGTGGTAAAAACTGAAAGTGTTGCCTTGACAAATTTAACACTGGCTCCAACAAGAAACACAAAGCAAGGGATAAAAGCAGAGGACTTCACAAGAGGTAATATGGGCTTTCCTTTTTGTTACTTTAATGACTCCTCTCATGTTGATGTTTTTATATTGTTTTGTTATTGCCTGAAAGTGAACTTTAAATGACAATATTTAAAGTTCTTTAAATGACAATATTTAAAGTTAGATAATTTGTTTACTATAATTGTCACATATCAATAACAGGGCTGTAGGTTCATATCATCTGACATTCTGCCTTATAGCTCTCTAGATTCTGCACAATTATATTGTGCTAATTTCCTTATGTAACATATACAAATTAAAGTAGGCTTCTAAGGGCCTTGTAGGTTATAAGATATTCTTGCATAACCTTCCACTTTACTGTTGTACAGTAACTTTCTTTTGTAGCTGATAAAGCCAACTTTCTTCTGGCATATCACTCTCAAATCTGTGCTGTTAATATAGCAGGGCCAATTTTACACCAAGTGCTGTGCAAGAAGACAAAAGTTTAGCAAAAGTTTCCATGTTTCATTAATGGATTAGAGATTACACCCATCTGAATAGGCTGTAATGCATATTGTGGATGCATTTGGGAAGATGCTTGGTCAGAGTAGCACATGTTACACGATAACCTAACACTGTTGTAGTACATGACCTGATTTATTTAAGTACTTCCTCTTGTGTCCTTAACATGCTACACCCCAGTGCCCTGGTGCAATGTATTGGTAATAGATACATTATAATGTGAGACCAAAAGATGAGGAGACTGATAACAGATGGAGCTAAAGAACAGCTAGGCTTCATAAAATGTGACTCAGTGTATTGTATAATCAGGGTATATTAAAGGAGAGAACATCACACCCTCATTGCACCAATGAGCATGTGGACTGGTAGTGAGACCTGTGCAGACACACGCAAACATATAGGCTAGTAATTTATAGCTGCATTAATATTCGTTTTCACTTGAAACATTTGCAGCAGAGAAAGGAAGCCCTTGCTCATCTTACTTTACAAAAGTAGGCAAACAGTAGTCATTTACACTTCAAAAACAAGCCTCCTGTTCTATTGCCATTTTAGTTAAGACCAAAAATATTCAAAGTGAGCAATGACTCTTGTTGCCATTTGTCAGTGCAACTCTGTAATGGTTAAGTATGGAATGCAACATATATATACTATGCACATATGTCTATGCTAAATAATACAATTTGTGTATTTCTTCTAATTTTGTAAAATGGTCCCCTTGAAGAATGGGCTTCTTATAGGCTACATTATTGAATAAACTCAACCAAACATCAGGTCCTAAAACACACAGTTGACAAAAACTGATATTTTGCAGCTCATTTCAGCCACATTCCCTGGGGTGAGATGCTCTCTGTAGGCACTACTCTGTCTGAGGCTATGTTAGACTATAATCTGAGTTTTCTTTTAACACAGTCTGACCCAAAAAGATGACTTGGTTGTTATAGCATTCTCATACTCATTTTCTTACCAGTATTTGACACTGCTGTGAAAGGATTTTTTTTATTATTACTTTGTAACCCAGCCAGTCAGATCAGTGAGATCTAAAATGTATATTTAAAAGGACATCCTTTACATTTTTGAGGGCATCAACCCAGAGAAGTTGTCAGTCCTTTCACTAGGTCTATAGGCTATGACATTGATATGATGGAAATGACAGGCTTTTTTATTTAGCCATTATTTAATTTGTGCAAATTATGCTACGGACAACAAGTGTGTGGGGGAGGCTGAAAGGATGTGGATAAGGATATGCCGCCGTAGAGCGCAGCATGTGCATGACTTCATTTCCCACATTGCACCGCGCCCCATGATGTTCCCAACAGCTGACAGACGGTGAAAGCCTCTGCCAGAGCTGGTGAAAGAGAGAGGAGCCTCTCTCGGTGGTGGCCCACGGACTGATAGAGCACGCGAAAAAAACAAACAAATAAAACAAAAACACATTTGGAGCTGTTTTACGCGCCGGACCTCTGGCGAGCATCCTTTTTTTTGTGAAAAGACATTCACTCTGCACCGCCACTTTCCTATTCGGAGGGCTGAGGACAAATTGCTGTCAGCTAACTTCCACAGTAGGTCGCTGCGACGCTGGGCTGCCGCTGCTGCTGCGACTGCATATGTTTTATCTGAGCTCCAGTGTTTGACTCAAGCCCTTCAGCGCCGAGCCCAAATGCTGAGGAATGGATAGTGCGCGTGCGAAAGGAGGGAAGATGGTCGAGAGTGATGAGAAACCGCCGGAGAGGGATAGAGGTGGTGGTGGCGCAGCGATGGCCGCACTACATCAATGCGAACTCATCCAGAATATGATTGATATCTCCATCTCCAGTTTACAGGGGCTCCGGACCAAATGTGCGGCGTCCAACGACCTTACGCAGCAGGAAATACGCACTTTAGAGGTAATTAGCTTTTAGATGCATGACGAGTCCTCGTGCTGTCATACAAAGTCAAATTGCGGAGTCATGAAGCCCCACGCTATGTCCGCCGCACATAGGCTCAATATTGGCGAGCAAAGCGCTCTATCAGTGATTCCGGGTGTCGGTGTGCTGTGCATACTCGCATAGCCTATATTGTAAACATCACTGCACAGGTTACACCGAGGAATTGTCTCTCAAAACAAATCTATTATGATTTTCAGTAGCATATACACATCAAACGTGAACAATATGCCTATAACCTATTGCACACTGTGCAGGTGTAATATGCTTAAGGCTTAACAACTGTATTGCATGTATATATATATATATATATATATATATATATATATATATATATATATATATATATATATATATATATATATATATATATATATATATATATAATATATATATAATGTGTGTGTTATTATATTGTTATTTGTTATCTGATATGAAGAGTTAAAATTTGAAAATATAAATGTAAAATTGTACTATCTCTCTACTGCTATGTATCTAGCTGTCTGAAAGTCTGAGATGTGGATTAGCCCTAAAATGCATGGTGGCTGTGATGCTTTGATCCTGTTGTTTGTCTGACCTCTTTCTTTAGGTGGTAATATTTGTCAGGATCCCTGTGGATGGTGCGGACACACTGTGCTGTCCGGCTGAGTCCAGCCTGGCCTAATAGAAAAATACTCTGTAACATTCATGGCCTCTTTGTCTGGACAGTATTTTGTTTGCTAGATACTCAAGTAGGCTACTGCCAAGATACTATGAGCTGTGTACCATGTGATCAGCTCAGCAGAGAGCAAAGCATTGTGGCTCTATGCAGTGTGGGGCTGAGTGAACACTGCTATGTGCAGGAGCTTGTGGCTTGATAGAGCATCTTTATCTGTAGCTTGCTTTGGTGGTCTTGTTATAACGGCAGAATTACCTTTGTTCTCTATGTTATTAACAGGGATGATATATAAACATTACACATTTTGTAGATTTCATAATGATAGACATTAAAACATTCTACTCACAGGCTTTTCATAATCTAACTGATAAATTAACTGAAGAAATTAATCACCAGAGTAAAATATTGGTAAAATAATCATTAGTCAGAGCCCTAACTAACAAAATGCATCGAAAGCAAAAATTTAATCTCTTCAGATACAAAGGAAAAGCTTTGATATGCTTTCTGAAGACACAGTGATAATAAATCAACCCAGACACTAGTCCTTCAACATTTGTAAACGTACCCTAATATGCACCTTTTACTAAGCTACAGCATGTTTCCAATATAAACCCTATTGGTTACAAGGCACTGTTCTTGTCAAAGTACTTTTACCATCCCAGTTGTGATGGAGGCTAACTGATTCTTTGGCTCATGCTTTATTCAGACGTCGAAGCTTGCATAAAAGAATATTCACCCTTGATTGGCCCAGGGCATCAATTATCGATGTGTGCATTATTTCAGTCAAACTCAACACCCCAGGTACAATTGTTCACTTGGCCCTGAAAATGGCTCCAGAGCACTGTGGAGATCTGATTGCAGTAGCATGCAGATTCAATGAGATAAAGTGGTGCCACTGACCTTCAACCTGTTCAGGGCTCGCCAGTAGGATACAGTGCCTTGTTACTTTGTCTGAACTTTACTAAACAGACTAAACTATAATAGCGATATGAGTAAATACATTCTAAATTTAGTTAAAAATATATGAATTAGGACGTAGTAGCAAGGCAAGTTAAAGATGCATAGAATCAAAGTTGTACTTTATTCAGATATTTCCAAGATTTTGCCTTTTTAGTATTTCTCAATCCTAAATTCAACTTTTCTGCTTTAAGAATACCCCTGTTGCTGTCTTGCATCACAGGAAGTGATCTGGTAGAGTACTTCCTGCTGTACGCCGTCTTCCATATGTGTTCAGCTTTGGTATTGTTCTAACTGACAATGGGCAGGCAGGATCATGCTTTGCTGGAGAACCCTGGATAAAAAGGCTATGAGGCCCTTTCCTGTTCATTTTTGTTTAACCTAACGCAAGGCAGCTTTAAGTTGGTCAGTTGCTGCATGGTTATAATCTGGACACCAATAGTTGAAATAATAGTTAAAATAATACCTTACATTTGGATTGCACTTTATTATGTTGTTCAAAATGGTAAATTCACCCCATACTCGGTGATAAACTAGCCATATCTGCTGTGGCCTAGACTGAAGTGAGGCTGTCCATCTGTGTACCTCTGACCACCACCAGTCACTTACTCACTACATTCATACATAGAAAAGGAGGGCAAAGTGTCTTGCCCATGGATGCAACAACAGTATGCATTGTTCTGGGCAGGATTTGAACCATCAACAATGTAGCATCACTGTTGCCCCACAGCATCACTACATCACAATTTTTCATCACTCCTCTTCTATTTCAAATCATAATATTTTAAACTATAACATGTGTAAATATCACAGCATGATAAATAATGAATACAGTGATACATAGAAACTAATTGTCAGCATTAAAATTAATAGGAAAATTCTTGGGTTGGATAATTTTTGTAGGTTGAGCTTTTCTGCGGGTTACAGTTGTTTGGAGTTATTGACATTGTGAAGAAAAAAAAATGTTTTAACTGAGTACAGCTTGAGCACTTTCAACACAGTCCATCCTAAGGTATAATATAATATCAGCTTTAGCCAATGACAGTGTGAAAGTATGACCATATTGTTTAGCCTCAGTATATGTGTTGGTAAACAGTGAACCGCTGTCATCACCATCCAACCACTCTAGACAAAACAGAGTAATCATCTCTGCACCTCCCAAACCAAAATGCAGCGTATTTGAGACTCTAGTACAGTGTGTGTCTAAAATGCTTTTGACACATGGGCTGTCTTTACCAGCACTCTGTACTTCCATGTCACTTACTGCCACAATATTAAGAAATCCCCCTTGTTCCATTGTGCACTTTCACTTCTTTCTTAAGATTTCTCTTGAGATAACGTCAGCACATTTGGGGCTTAATCACGTACAACAGTTTTGTTGGCAGCACAGAACCAGTACATCTCAACCAACTTAAACTCAGTATGTAACAAAAGTTAGGGCATGGTTTAAAAGGAAAATATTTATTTAAAAATGATTGAAAAGATTTTTTAGTAATTCAATTTCCTTGCAGTATACTTTACTGTAATAACATGCTCTTGTTCATATGGTTTCCTCAATACAACTTCTTTGAGATGTGTTGCTGTCATCCAGTTTAACATTAACTAATAGTTTATGTAATGAGACCACTGGGCACATTCACATGGCCAGACAAATGTGATTACTGGAGTAATCTGATAACCCAACATTAGATATGGTTATTGGCCTATGTTTAAATGCACAAAATGCATTTGATAATTGAAAATCACCACTTAGCACATGGGTTTTAGAGTAATTATAGTAAAAAAAAAAAGAAAAAAAGTTTTTTTTAAATTCTCTCTTGGTGTTTGCTACATTAGACTGCATTTTGTATGAATGATCAGGTGTGAACGATCAGAAAGTAATCAGATTACTCACACAGGCCTGTCATCATAATTACTATATGAACTTGAAAGTTGGAACAATACTTCTTGGAGTCAATATTGATCGTCTGTATGTTTTCTTTGCACTGCTGGGAGATTTTTTGTTATTTTTTGGCTATATGGTAAGATCTAAGTCGTAAATTGAATTAACAATTTCTATGACTCATTACAAAGGCAAAGTAAGTACTAAAGTGTTTCATTCTCCTGTTTATTTATTGCAACTCACGCTTAACTATAGTAGATTTAGAATAGTTTTTGTGGTTTAGATCTGTTATTGTGTTAGTGGTATAAATTAGTTTCAGTTTTATTGTTTATAGTTACTTCAGCTTTATATTTCGCACTTCAAAAATCATTATTGTGACAGGCCTGAAATACAATATAAAATAAATCTAATAGTAATGAACTTTTTTTGTTTGTTTGTTTTGTTTTGTATTTTTAACACCGTAGATCCATCGTTTCCTAAAATTGCTCTCATAAAACTTATACATACTTGTTTTGTTTTTGTTCATAATCTCACACCATGATTCAACTTAGTCTGAATTAAGTTTGTGATATATGTGTGCTGAATTTCCCCAGAGGTGCGACTCAAGGTGATAGTCACTGTCACACTGATGGTGCAAAGGGGTGTCACGCTGTAGTGCCATACAGACAGGCTCCAGCACACTTTCTGCACTGGTGGAGAGAGCTTTATTATTCCACTTGAACCGCGCCTGTTGTCTCTGCCTCTGCCAGGAGAGGATAATGATACTGGCCTCTCCGATTGAGTGCTAACTAGTACTTCACTTTGCACATGTTAATCCCACTTAGCCTCGTCTCTGTCTCTGGACTACTATTCATGTTTCGGACTCATAAAGCAATACTTTGGGTGGAAATGGGTGATGTAAAGTTAGATGTGGGTAGGCCTGTTACAAAAACACATGCTAAAGTTAATATAGATGATAAATGATAATAACCCAAAACTGACAAGATAATCCAAGAGCAGATTTATATTGCAAAACCTATTCTAAATTTAAAACATTGTTGAGCATGAGCTGCAGCAAATTATTAGCAGAAAGAAACACTTAAGTGAGTCCTTTGATTGCATCTGTAATGAGTCATAGTCAAGTTATTAATTCAACCTTTTATGACTTAAATCTTATCATATAGTCAAAAATAACCAAAAATCCCCAGTAGTGCAAAGAGAATGTACATGCCATAAATACTGACCCACCAAAAATATTGTTCCATCTTTCATAGATTGAGCGATAAGTCGAAATATTAATTATAAGACCTAGATGTGGGGAATATATAGGGCTGGTTGGTTATGGTAAAAATTATAATCACAGTTATTTGGCTGATCATTGAAATCATAATTACTCCTGTACTGTCAAAATAACATGTTAAGAAAATACAGACTTATTTGATCAGTAATGTTTTATGTGTTTTGTTTGATATCACCATTTTATAT